ATATCCTGCTTTAGCCTAAACAACTCAGGAGTATACCATTTGAGGTAGTAGTTTGACCTCGCCACACGAGTTTTGTTGTTGGGCCTATATACCTTAGACTTAGATGGGAAGAAAACATCAAATAACTTCCTTATTTCAGAAAAAAACACATCAAAGTCATTGGCATCGTCTTTCAGGATGTCAAACCATTTAATCTCACCTAGAGCAACTAAAAATAGGTCTATCATGCTTAGGTCAAGTTTTCTAATGTTAAAAAGATAACTATTATGCCAAGAATTCAAAGGAGGACTCACCACATTTGAAGAAGTCATCCATCTCATCACCACTGCGGAGTGATCTGCGACAAAGTGTTCGACGACACTGGCCTCATAATCCCAGGTGTTCAGGTTTACAGCTATGTTGTCGATGCAGGAGTGGCCCCTCGTTGGTTGTGTTGTCGTGATGAAAAGTCCGAAGGACTTCAGGAGATTGAGCAAGGCAGATCTCTCGGTGCCTTCTCCAATGAAATTTACGTTGAAATCCCCCATCAACACCAAGTTGGAGAAATTTCTCTCAAGGGAAGCCAGACAGCTCTCCAATTGATTACAAAACACTTTGAAATTCCCACTAGGTGAGTGGTAAACACAGATTGCCGTCACGTTCAGGCTTGGTATGTAAATCGCTACCAGTTCACAATCGAGGTCTGAGCAGAATTGCTCCACATTTAAGACACTAAAATCAAGGCTTGTGTCAATGAACAATGATGCTCCGCCACACTTGGAATTTTTCTGCAGTAAATACTTGCAAGGGATAAATTTGCCACTGTACTGTAGAATTCAGTCTCTTCTGGTACTAACCAATGTTCGCAAACGCCAAGAATGTTTATACCTTCTTCCTCAATGAACACAGTTAATAGGCTCTCCTTACCTCGAATACTTTGTACATTTAAAACACTAATTACAACAGGAGAGCAATTTTCTGGGTCCTCAAGTCTTCTCATGACACGTTCTGGTGGTCTGGCAATCCCGAGTGCTGGACTGTCCTGCCTAAAAAGATCTCGGTGAAGGACGTCGAGATAGAAGGAATTCTCTAACAAGGATGCCGTTTGGCCAAAAATCAGAGCGTAACACCCTTTCAACACACAGTTCTGATATTCCCAACTTGAACGATTTGTAGGATTCAGTTTGACACATTCGCAGTTGTGTATATCATTGTCTGCAAGAAAACTGGTTAAGGTATCGCAAGTTGTTGCAGGCGATAGTCACGATACAAAAATAAATTTTCGTTTACAAGCCGGTTTCAATCTGGTTTTGGTCGAGCCAGTGCCGATTACCACTTTAGATGAATTCAGATGGTTCCTGTTGTTTGAGACTGTATTAGGATTTTTCGACTTTGGTACTCCTTTCGATCCTCGAACAGTACTCGCGTAGGATTTGGACACTGTCGAGACTGGACTGACTGGAGCGAGATTACAATCGGTTTCAGTTCCTCCAGTCTTTTCCGTCAGCTCCTGTTGCCGCTTGAATCGCACTCCTCCCACTGGAGTCAATTCACTACCGTTTCTCAGTCCGATTTGCTGTTCATTTGATTCAACTACCGTTCCGTCTTCATTCACAGTAGTATGAATTTCGTCTTCGTCATTTGTCACCAATGGGAAAGAGGGGATCTCAGTGACGTCATTGTTGCCAACCGTACCTTCTGATTCAACTCCCTTTTCTTGGCCAATTTCTTGTTTGGACGCGTCAATTTTGTTAAAAGAATCTATTCCCTTAATTTTGTCTGCTGTCCTCTTAACTAAATTATTCACATCTACTTTTGTTTTGACACTAAGGTTTATCAATGTGTTAAGTTTTTTCTCCAGAGATGTACCTAATTTTGAAAAAGCTTCCACACAGTTTTTAATAACTGTCAAGTCATCTAAGCTTACGTCCACTTTACCTTGTACAAGTGCAATGTGTTTCCCTAACCTCGAATCGCATGGTCGGCAAAACCACCTCACATCTTCTTCCAGGTTCAGTATTTCGCTAAATTTCTTCACTGAAATCCTGACACACTTAGCGTGATGCCAAGAATTGCAGTAACCTTCACACAACAAAGCTTTTTCTTCGTCTCTACACACTTTCGAACAAACGGGACAATTTATCACACTATTCCCATCCGCCATATCCACAGCCTCTACAATATAAACATATTGTAAACAACACTTTAAAAAATGAGCTGTCGAGAAACAATGTTAAGTTATCTTTTAGGACCTCTAACAAATTGTCATCCATCCTAAAAGAAAAAAGAAAACCCTCTTCTGACAAAACTGAGCTAACCGGTGTTTACAAAATTAATTCAGGATTAACAAACAGGAATGGAAATGTCTAAAATGCAAGTCAGGGAAAAAATGTAATTTAAAAAAAGATGTTTCTGAAGATAATGATGAAAATATTACAGAGGTATTTAAAAAATTTATGAAAGATGTGTCCAAGCAGCTACAAATTCTTCCAACACTAAAGGAGGATTTAGATAAAATTAAAGAAGACAGCAAGGAAGTTATTAAAAGTCAGCACTTCATAAGTGAACAGTATGAGGATATTATCCACAAGCTGGAACTTCTACCGAAGCTGGAGGAAAAGGTGGAGCAACTACAGTTGGTAATTCAGCGGAAGGATGAAGAGATTCACGATTTGAGTATGCGTCTAAGCCAATTAGAGCAATACGGCAGAAACAAAAATCTAGAAATCAATGAAGTAACTGAAAACAAGAAGGAAAATGTGGAAGAAATAGTTGTGAAACTTGCTGAGAAAATGGGAGTAGACATCACAGAGGATGACATTGAGGCTGCACACCGTCTACCATCAACTCGGAGGGACAATAGACCTGCGACCATCATCGTCCAGTTTGCCGGGAGGAAGAAGAGAGATGCGTTGCTGGCAGCTAGGCGGAAGGTTGTGACAAACAACCAGGTGACAGGACTACCGGGCGGCCAGATATTTGTAAGTGAAAACCTTACTGTTTATTATAGAAACCTATTAAAAGAAGCGAAGAAAAAAGGAAAGGATCTAGGATACAAGTTCATCTGGTTTAAGTATGGTGCGGTTAGGCTTCGTAAAACAAAGGAGAGTGATGTGATAGTAATTAATGAGATGTCCGACTTAGCTAAGATTAAGTGAGAGTTTTCATTTCGGGGTTAAAATAGAACTAAAATAAATAATATTAAAAAAAGTTCAAGATTACAAAATTATGATGGCAGGGCACGGCTTAGATTCTTACATAAATTGTTATATAAGGGAGGAAGTAAGAGGAGGAAAACTAACACAAACATGTTTAGACCATGCATTCATTAGAGTTAAAAGAGCGAAGGTCAACTCAGATGTAGTTCAGACTAAGATAGCAGATCACTACACCTGTGTTATCAATGTCCAGCCTGACAACTCCTGCCCAACTGATAAGACAATACCCCCGCCGCAGCAAACCTGCAGACTTAGCGAATTTCCATTTGCCTGATTGGATTTAAACTAAAATGTCTCCTTCAAAATATCACATTTATTCCTTATATAAACAGAATTAGTTTAATGAGTACTTAGGTTTGCTGCAACAGGGAGGGTAAACAAGTTTTTTTATGTAGAATATTAAAAGGTACTGTGGTTTAGTAAGAAATTAATGTATTTTCCAACTTTTATCAAAATATGTTCATAAACAAGGAAACTACAACAGTTGACTTATTCTCCATAAGAATAACATGGGAATTTTAAAATTACAATTTTTTTGAATTTTCTCCGTAACAATTAGGTGCATAATAATGCTTCAATATACTAAATTATTTGTTTTTTTAAGCTCTACAAAATGGTTTAAAAAGAAATTGTGAAATTTTGTGTTTTTAGGGTCAAAAATGGGAAAAACCTATTTTTACCCCATAAAACCCCCCATAAACCTCTGTTCCCATAGTCCGATCATGCTGGTTCGCGAACTCATTCAAGTTTATCCCGCCTTACACCTTCAAACCAAATTTTATCAAAATCGGACAAAAATTACTCAAGTTATCGTGCGGATGGACACATATATATATATCTCTATATATAGATATATTAAAATTTGAACGAATGGTGTTTTTGGCCTCTGGGGACATCAAAATGAAAAAGTAAATCGGTCCCGGGCTTAGGTCTTACCATGAGACCTACGGTAATAGCTACTTCCCTATAGGGAAATTCGCTAAAACAGATAAATACAAAGATAAATGTGGCTATATTGGGACGGGTATTGGGGCAGATGGACTGGCTGTCTATAAAATGTTTATCCGATGCATCAGAGATTTATAATAAGATAAATTTAAACTTTAATGAAGCCTATGATATTAGTAAAATTATTGTATCAAAATCAGTTAAATCTCCCAAAAAACCATGGATGTCTTTTCAAATAGTAAAACAGATTAAAGAGCGTGATAAATTATTTAAATTGTACAAAACACATCCAAACAATAATAATTATAAAGAAAGATATAGGCTAGCAAGGAATAAGGTGGACAAAGAAATCAAAAAAGCAAAACAAAGGCACTTCTTCAGTTTATTTTACAGTAATCAAAATAATATTAAGGAAACTTGGAGTCAGATAAACTCAATTTTAGGTAGGGGCAAAGTGGATAATATTGATGAAAGTATAGTTAAATATCTAGGAAAGCATAAAACAGAACTTGAAATATGTAATGCATTTGCAGATAAATTTACTAGAGGCATATATTTAAAAGATGTTATGATGACACTTGATAGTGAAGGCAGGGGAGCTTTGAGTTAATGGCAAGGATATCTATGGCCACTGCATGTAAAAGGCCTAGTTTATTTTATGGGGCTTAGGGTCTTCTAAAGGCAAGTATCATAAAATGTGACATAGGTATATTTTTGTAAGTTTGCACAGAAAAATGGGCCATAGATTTTTGATGATGTGTCTTTAAATGCTACTGTAACTGTATTTGTCTTTACTATACATACAAAAGTCATATTTAGAATTTACATATTAATGCTATGTTATTTTTGTTGTAGCTCCTGGCCGTAAGCTATCAAAACGGCCCACAGAAACACCAGGATTAGAAAGTACACAGACCTTCTCCCCACCACCTGCTTACAACCCTTACGATGATCCTCAACAGTACAACAATATGCCTGCATACCCTCCCAATCAATTCGGTTAGTTTTTTTCTCTGTCTACTCATTATTTGTTAGCCTATTCTACTTTTTAGTTTTGTTAAATTCACAGAAACCATTTCAAATTTAGCTTAAGAATTGTTTTACTAAGTGTAAACAATTATTTTAGCATTGACCTTCAATATTAGGGTACACATCAAATCTATATTTTTTTTAAAGGGGGTGGCTAGCTAAGTTATGGGCGCATGCAGCAATTTTCTTCAGGAGGAATTTTGTCCCAAGGAAATGAGGAACCTCATCCACAAACATATTATTGTCAGCTTTCGCACTAGTGCCGTTTCACGGGCAAATGTAAACCGGGGGCAAAAAATGCCCAGATGATTCTAAACTTCCATGCCAAATTTGTTAGTCCGTGTCGATCAGTGGCTGAGTGCGGTTGGTACTAAAATATTTTTTTTTACCTAAGGGATAAATTGTTTGTATGTCAGATGTTAATAAGGAAGAAATTAACATTGAGTTGGCCTACTTGATTAGTTTGGTCAAGTAATATACCTACAGTGATGGGCGGATCCAAGAAAATGTCGGTACCGGATCCGGATCTTGAAAAATTCGGATCCGGATCTTCGAATCCAGATACACACTGTCATAAGGGCGGGATAGAAAACGTAATCAACAGAATGCCAATTTAAATCATACTGTTTAAAATTAAATTGGTAATGTTTAAAGGTTAATATATCTTGTACGTACTAGCAGAGCACCCGTCCTTCGTACGGGGTTAGCATATAAGTATAAAATGCTTATTGCAGTTATACTCAAGCTTTGCGTTTGCAATGGGGGGAGGATACAGTTTGATAAAATTTGGTTCATAAATTTACAGTAACTTATGGTATAGTATAACACATCTACCATTGTCATAATGTTCTACCACTGCACCTAAACAATAGAAAAAAATAAATTATCAAACATTCGCACAATATCTCAAATTATTTATTAAATTAAAAACTCAAACCTAACTGTAATTAAACAATCCTACTTTGACAGTTCTCATTGTGTATATCACAGCCTTTTGTTGCTGCTTAGTTCAAACTAGCTGTTACCCGCGGGCTTCGACCCATGTTTGACTTCATAAGTATTAATAAAACTATTGATTGGTTAAGTTAAGCTGAAATAAACAAAACAGAATGCAGCATTACAAACAAAATAATCACACCAGATTTTAATAAGGTAATAAATTGAAAGAATAACATACAAATAAGAACAGCTGAGGTATTTTTAACATTAAGTATATGGAAAGTTCCCTTTGGAAAGCAATTATGACCTTAAAGGGCAATTTAAGAGAAAATGGATAATTTTGCGCAAGGTTTCTCGTCATGACGGACATTTTAAGTATATGCTTTATGGGGGTGTGACTTGTAGTTTTCTCAAAAGTGCATGGGTACTTTTGGCTTTATAAGGTAAGTGCCCCAAATACCAACACCCTAAGACCAGAAATAAGCTGTCTTAGGTCATAAAAAATATTAAGGTTATGTAAAACCTGTTTTTAATGGAATAAATCAATTTGCCATAATATTAACAATGAAAAAACATCAAAATATGAAATAAAAACCCTAGTTTTAACTACTTATAAGCATTTAAATGTTGGGTAGCAAATATGCAACTTTACAAAAAATACCGACAACAATGAAAATTATTCCGACATCTCATGTCCTAATTACCGACAGTATGTTTATAAGAGGGATTTAAACTACAAGGTAACTTTGTATTTGTAATAAATGTATTTTTAAAGATTCCTTGTGTTTTCAATTTCCTGAATTACCACTCGTATCTTAATATTTTGTCATTCACCACCCTAAAAAATTATCCTTAACCAACAGGTTATGTTTGACGATCTTGCTAAACAAAAGTCACTTAGTATTTTTGCTGAAAACAAATGCTCAAAGTCGTATCAAAATGTCTTTTTACCTTTAGCAAAAGTAAGTTAGGGTATTTTTAACAATAACAATCGTGATCAGTAGTAAAAACATCGACATCTGACGAAAATAAACACACTGCTTAGCACCGACATACAGCTTAGCAGCCGATGACGATAGCTTCGCCATGACCACCTAGAGTAGTGTTTGCTTAGTTTCCGAGTTATACTCAATTACATGTTAGCTTATATAATAAGATGTGGAAAGTAATCAATTGCATTATATTGCATAAAATCATTGTTTATTCTATAAAATCACACGACATGAACATATGAATAAAACCACCAACAAAGAAGAGAAGAAAATGCATTTTTACAGATTAAAATGGGTTAAACTTAGACTAATCAAAATTCACAATGTACGTAGTAACTTATGTACAAAAGACTTTACAACAATATTACAAGCAAATATTAATTACAACCTACAGCACAACAAATAAGAAAATACATTTTTACAGATTCAAATGGGTTTATCCACGGCCGCCTTTAACTACAAAGGCGGCCGTGGTTTATCTTAGGCTACTCAACATTTCAAAGTCTGTGGTACAAATTATGTACAAAAACCCATCAACAGTCAAACAACACAAACAAATACAAATACAAGCAAATAAGGATTAAAACCTACAACAAAGAATAAAATACACTTTTACAAATTTAAATGGGTTTAACTATGACTAATCAAAATTTACAATATCTGTAGCAACTTATGTACAAAAAGGCTCTACAACAACATTCAGGCAAAGAAATTTAAACATAGGCCTACAGCAAAACAAAGAAGAAAATGCAATTTTACGATTTCAAAATGTTTTAACTTAACCTACTCAACATTTACTACCTATATGTACAAAATACCTTGTTCAGTTGATTCACTGTTCGTTTACTTACGAACTAAAAGTAAGGTACCCTCGTCTGTCAAATAGTGGTTCTTTCAAAATGTTTGTTATTTCTACAAAAGGGACTTCGTCAACGTCATCCACTTCAGGCCAAATAAATTTGTCTCCTCTTCGGGCGAGATATTTAATTTCAGCCGTGTTGTCTTGAAGAACACGTAGCACTTGACCAATATATTTTTTGTCTTGATCGGGTTTAGCAGTTGGATATGGTACTACGACCCAATGTCCTACACCAATATCCTTTGTGTTGGGCCTTTCTGCACTTGAAAGTTTGTCAAAGTCAAATTCATTAACTGGTGGTTGAGGGTAGTCATTCTCGTCGAGCTCAGATGAAGCTTCTTCTCTTTCTTGTTTCTTCTTGCTCGTCTTTTCTTTCTTCACTTTCACGGTCTGTTCTTTCATGGCTTGTAGATTTCGCCTTCTTTCTCTTCTTTCTTCTAAATCTTTTGCTTTTTTTGCTTTTTGTTCTGCTAGGCTTCTGTGATACACCTTCCAGCTTTCAGATGTCATGACTGTAGGCATTTTTACGCTGTTTCTTTTCTTCTTTTTGCCAGAGTCTTTTTTTGGACCAGGCCAAAAAACACAGTCCTTGAAAGGCGATGGAATGATGTCTTTAACGTCCTGAGTAGAAGTAGATGGCGGGGGCGTTTGACTTCTAACAGCCTGTGAGGTAGATGGCGGGGGCGTTTGACTTCTAACAGCCTGTGAGGTAGATGGCGGGGGCGTTTGACTTCTGGCAGCCTGTGAGGTAGATGGTGTTGAAAGCTCGGAGGGGGTTGGTTGACAAGCCAATGATGAGTTTTTTATATCTTGTAAAATCGGGTTAGAAATAACAGTAACTGGCAAATCCAACTCAACAACCATGTTTTGACCGAGGCCCAAGTCTTCAAATAGCTCCTCATTCAGCACAATGGTCTCGTTTAAGTCTTCCAGAGTCATGTCAAAGTTGAAATCTGCCTCCACAGCTGGTGTGAGAACGTTAGGGGCGTCTGCTTCTTCAGGCAAAATGGTGGCGTCGGGTTCATCATTGGGACCGATTGTGGCGTCGGGGTCTTCAACGTGATCAATTGTAGTGTCTTGATTGATTGGAAGATCGTTGGCTGCAATTTTCAAATCTTCTCTAATACCTCTCCATATCTCAAATAGAGATTCATCACGCCTTTTAACAGGCCCACCTCGCCTAAAAACCTTCAGTCTCTCACTCCCTATTTTCTTCTCGAGATACACCAACGCGGTATTTATCTTTTCCACATCGTCATTTGATTTTACAACCGATTGTGGTTTTTGCTTTTGGGCCAAGTTCCCAACTATTTTAGTCAAGTCAATGTCTTGGACACTCAAACTTAGCAAGCCGCAAGTTTTAAACCCGTGTTTAATGGTTTCCGGCTTCAAGGTGGAATTGATGACGGTTTGCAGAATGGCCGGGAAATCTTCTTTTCTCACTTTCTGTGATGAATTTTGAAACCGCCACTCGCCAACAGCTTTTTTCCACGCCGTTTTTAACGGGTGGAAAACAGCAACATCTAATGGCTGCAAGATGTGTGTGGCATTAGGCAAAAGGGCCACGAGCTCAATTTCTTTGGATGTACAAAATTCGCTTAACTCTAGGGACATATGTGATACATGACCGTCCAAGAACATGATCACTGGTCGCGGTACGTTGTTGGCGGTCAGGTATGGCTCAAAGGTGTTTGCCATGTACTCAAAAAATGACTCACATGTCATCCATCCTGCCTCACTTTTGCCTAATGCCCACCCATCTGGAACAGCCATCCCTACCTGTACCGGGATACGTTCGTATGCATACAATAGCATTGGTGGTGCAACGCCACCGTCCGCACTAACTGTCATAAGGACCGTAACATTCTCTTTGTCCGTGTTGCCTGCCACATTGTAAACACTTCTGTCTCCTCTTGCGGCAATGACCTTCCCTGTTTTGGGAGCAAGAAAAAAGGCGGTCTCGTCACAATTGAAAATTCGCCGCGGATCCTCGAAGACACTCATCAACTGCTTTTCTTCTGCATACTTTTTTACTTCTGCACACCACTCCGCGACCCTCTCCTCAGTGATGGCAGCACGTGAAGTCGTCAGGGTCTGGCACTCCCGGACGGCGAGGTTTTTGTGGCGGCCCATAAAGAGTTCATACCATCGACGGCCAGGTTTATCGTTGACGAATGGGTTAGGCCTACCCGTGCTGGTGAGCATCCGCCCAGCACTATGGATGAGTTGATCTTTAGTGATGGGGAAACCTCTCGTCTTACATGTTAAAACCCATTTCACTAGGATGTCTTCTTCGTCCTGAGAGAGAATTGGCTTCCTACCCAACTTACAGTTTTCGTCGTAACGCCCAGACACTTTGTCATGGAGCGTTACCCTAGGTACTCCAAACCGTTTTGCCGCGGATGACACCGTGTCGGTACCGCTCCTAACCGCCAGAATAGCCCCTTTCATATCTTCGTCAGAATACTGCTTCCGCTTCTTTGGCGGGGGCGTTTTTGTTGCAGGCATTCTAAAAAAAAAAAAAAAAAAAATCAAAACACAGCATTGGTGTATATATTATTATATTTATTTATACCGGTATATGTGTTTGTTTTCGTTGTCAACTTTAACATGTAAGTTATTGGATTTTGTATTTCTTAACACAATTTAAAAAATAACGACAATAAAAACATTTAATAATTATGTCAACAACTTCAAGTAGTAGAAAGGCTAGTTCGGTATAAAAAATAAAGATTTGTTTTATTATTAGTAGTAAAAGAATTAAATCACGACAGTTTGTACTTGTTTTCAAACAAGTGTTGGTATTATTTTGCGTACAAACGTATTGGAATTAATACCGACAGCGCCGCGTCGGTATTTGGCGAAATGACGAAATTTTGCTTCAAATACCGACAGCATTAAAATTAAGGAGAAACAGGTTAGATTTCAATATTTTGATATCAGATTTAAAAGTATAAATGTTGACGTGATCATTAAACCAACTGTCAACCCACGTACATATGTTTTTAAACTTTTAATCTCTAAAGCAGAACTCTATGTTCCTAGTGAAATACATTAAGTTTCTTACCTGAAATCACAGTTGACATACAGCGTCCGACGTATTCAACTCGCTCAAACTCAGAAAAGGAGGGAACGGATTCTTCTTCTTCTCGATCATAGAAAAAAACACGGCGCTCACAGCTATCTAAATATTAGGTTAGTGGAGACGTATGTGAGCTTATTTTTTCAGTGTAAAAGTGAAAGTGTCGGTATTTGGTGCAGTGTTGGTATTTAGGGCACTTACCTTATATAGATTAGCTGTTGTCATATATGCAAAAACAAAATAATAATAGTGCTGCACCCTGTTGGGAAACGTTAACTTTTTAATGCTATTGCATATTATAGAACCAACTTTTAAAGTTGAAACAGCTGACTAAATTCTATAATTCCCTTTAAATATGAATACTCATAAGGTTAACATGGGGAACTACAGAGCCACTGGGGCAAAACTGGGAGCCCAAAAGGATTTTTGAGATAAGAATATGCCTAAATGTTAATAGGGAATGTGAGCTATCATCATGCAAAATTTCAGCCGAATCCGTCCAGTAGTTTATGATTGAGCAACACACAAACATACACACAACCTCACAAACTTTCTGATTTATAATATTAGTAAGATATAGAGTAATCTCCAGTTGAGCCCATAACCCCTCATTTTTTGGGGACACTAAAAGTTTTCAAAATCATAAAATGAAACTTTGTGCTAAGTTTGCATGACCACCAAAACGGTATCTGTGTATATTTTTACTATAGTTCGATCTTGAGTAGGCCTATGCTATACATGGTTTTTGCATGCAGCATCCAAATTATTTATGCCTGGATCACCTCTTGTTAATCACTTCCTTAAATTTGTTCCAGGTCCATGGTACTGATAGCCGGGTATGTGAAGTTCTACAGGTAAGATACCCTGTGTCTGTGTACAAAAAGACTATACTGTGTTCTAACTTAGAAAAATATTAGATGGGGGAGTCTTGACTTTTTATTCACCCTGTATGTACACAGATAATCTTCTTGTACACAGACACAGGTATTTTACCTGTAGAATTTCACATACCCGACTATCAGTACTGTGGACCTGGAACGAATTTAAGGAAGAGATAAGCAAGGGGTGATCCAGGCATAAATAAATTGGGGATGCTGCATGCAAAAACCACGATAAAGCATACTCAATTTTGAAGGATAGTAAAATTAGATCAGTGGCTGACAGCTTATTAGCTTGGGAAAGGGTAAAAGCGTCAGACTCTAGTATTTTTGAGAGAGCTGCCGTCTGGGCAGTTACTAACATAATTAAAACTAAAGCAAAACTTGGTGGGGGAAAAGGGAAGACTTCAAAAATTAAAAAACAAATAAGGAAGAAAAAACCTGTTGGGAAAAAGAAAAAAATCCTAAATGTGCCTGCAAGAAGAAAAGTAAAAGTGGTAAGTGGCTCTATTTGAGATTTTATACGGGATCTGGTAGTAAAAGTAAAAAAATTTACTCAAAGGAAATAATTGAAAGACTTCCAGAAAAACCATTAAGTATTTTGGATATATTAAAACTTGCTGCTGATTTAAAGTTGCCTTATTTTAAAAGGAGTCTTCTTACGGAAAGTAAATAAAAGAGACGTCTTATAACACTTAAAACATATATTTGCGCTTATACTGTTATTCACAAGACGGTAAATATACAAAAAAGATGGTAAGTGGTGATCGATTTTGATTGGACACTCCAATCATCATCAGACCCAATAGACGAATGACAAGAATCTTGAATGGCGTCCCTACTTATACCCTATTGGCGACCGGAACATCATCATGGTCTCCTGCGGTTACGAAAACGTGATCGTCATCTTGCTCGATAGCAGCAAAATAATGAACATCTCCCACGGCCGTGTAAACGTAATCTTTGTCTCCGGGGGTCTCAAAAACATGATTGTCGTCGTGCGCTATCACGGCAAAATCAAGTTCATTTCCCGTTGCCGTGTGGACATCATCATCGTCTCCCGCGGTTGCGATACAATCTTAGACTTCTTCCGCGATGATGGATGAATAGTGACAACTCCTACGCTGACGGGGAAATAGCAAAGATCTTTTGCGGTCACTCAGATTTCATCAACGGCTCCCGCGATCGCGGCGAATAAGATTAATGATGAAATAAATTTATCAAGAAAAAATAGCCCCAAGTAAGGCCCCCTCCTAGGCAGAGGCCCTCAGCAACCGCCGTGTCCGCCGTTAGGGAAATACGGTCCTGATGGGGTGGTGAAAGCACCATAACCCATTTCTTTTCCTGCCTTCAAACTTCCTGTTATCAGAACAATTCACTGCCTTCCCTACAAACATACTTGTAGAGCTGTATTTAAATCATCTGCAATTCTAACTTTTCCCTGTATTTACATTCTGGAAGTTTTACTTTCCTAAAGTCAAATTATTATAATTTTCACTCCGCAACCACCCACTCATATCTGCTTCGCAATAACTTCAATCTGAGAATTCCAGCCCATTCAACCACCTTCTTTGAAAGACATCTAACTTACAATGCCATCAAACTGTTTAGTGCTCTCCCTCTTCAAATCAAATCCACATCAGATCCGAGATGCTTCAAAATGCACTTGAGGTAATTTCTCACGGGTAAATTCTACTACAGTGTCCGTGCATTTCTCGCTGACGGACAGTCCTCATGAATTTTAACTTAATGTATATTTTTCAAGTTAGTTGATAGTTTTAGTAAATTTGACTTGGCTAATGCATGTATATTGTTGAACAAGCTGAATAAATGAGTTATTGAGAAGCAAAAAGGAGGGGAAAATAATAATAAAATAACTAGTGGAGCTGCGTAGCGGTGGCACGAGATGCACTCATTAGTTGGCCATCAGGAGCAGCGGCCGTATGAGTAACGCTCGTAATTCGGCGCCAATGGGTTGAATACATCAGATTAGGATTTTAGAAATCGTCTGTTTTACAAAGTGTTTTTTGCAGGTCCTGGTCCTGGTTCAGACTATGGCCCTGGAGGTCCAATAATGGGCTCCGCAGGCCACGGCCCTGGAGGTGTAGCAATGGGCCCTGCAGGCTATGGCCCCGGAGGTCCAGCAATGGGTGCCGCAGGATATGGTCCTGCAGGTCCAGCCATGGGTCCTCAAGACTATGGCCCCAGAGGTCCCAATATGATGCCAACCCAGCTGTTTAGTGATCCTCTGGTGGCTAATGTAGCCATGAGCTATGGGAGCAAGATTGTTGACTCAGGCAAAGAGATTGTTGATCGGGAAATCAACAAATATGTGCCTGTATCAACACTAAAGTATTATTTTGCCGTGGATACCAATTATGTCATGCGAAAGCTGAAACTTCTTTTCTTCCCTTTCACTCACAATGTAAGTGATACTAGCAGCAAAACCCGTCTCTGCCCGGGTACAAATACAATGTATAATAATGGTTATATATAGAATCAGTTTATTTTCTTTTTCATAGGTGTACACAAATATTAATATCATTAAATCTAAAAATATGTGAAATATTCTTTCTCTTGGGTTGAACTTAACATTATAAATTGACCACTATCACTCATTTTATATTTTATTTTGAAAGTTATAAAACAAAGATATAAAAAAGTTATAATATTATAGATTACCGTAGAAAACTCTGAAATACTGTAGTGTACAAAAAACTGAATATCTTCACGCACACTCATATTTTAAGCCATAGTCAGCACGACTTTGAACATTCACTACCTTTCATCAATGAACATAACACTATTGTTAATTAAGAAATAATATAATATACAATACAAATTTTTTTTAAAGAGCTGCAGAGAAAAACATAACCTGGGTGAAGGGCAAATTCTCACAGTTTTAATCTTAAGAATTGCCTTGTAAAAAAATTTCACGTGGCCACCTATTTCTTTACCAATTATTTATGAACGGTATGTATTCATTTAAATCCAACTAGGTGAACCTGTGCGAATTCGCACAAATAATACATTAGGATATTATAGCAACGTCGTTAGAAGTTGCGTCGTTGTATCGACGTTGGTCTTGAGCTCGATCGTTGGCTATATGCATTCCAAGTTCTTTTTGCTGTTCAGTAGGGGTATTTTGCAGGATGGAGTTCATCATGCTAAAAAATTGCGCGTATGGATTAATATCAAGTTGAGTCAGTGCTGCAAAAGCCATTAGCTTTGTTTAGCATTCTTTCTTGAACAGTGGTTTCGACGTCCGTAGGTATCCTAAATTTGGGCATATGTGGGATGCTCCCCTTTTGACGGTTGAAAGGTGACAATTAGATGATAAATTGTGTCGTGCACCTTATACATGAAAGGCCCTCCACCGTTAGTTCTTCAATTTTAGGTCGAGTGCTGACCATTGCGAGCGCAGAGTTGTACCTGGTTGTACGATCTAATGTTCTCTTTGTAGTTTCTGCTCAAATGATTTGCTCCATTAAGTAGGCTCTTATTATAATAGATTTCTTGGTATGGGGGTACATTCACTTTTCCTTTATGGCAGCAGGATGAAAATCCTTTGCCTCGTCCTCTTTGTTCTTCTTTAAAATGTAGCGCACCACATTTCTGACATTTTAATGCCATCTCGCCAAGTGAATGCTGCTAAATTCTTGTTCTTGTCAGTGTAATTTTGTAAATACACGTTGCCACTAACTGTTCCAGCTCCACGTCTTGGCTCCTTACGTTTTGCATTGCTTGCCGTATGCTGACTTGCCGTGTCCGACTGGCAATATTTCTTTGTCGTCGGGTCTTTGGCATGTTTAAACGAAAATATAATGTAAAACTTTTCTCCTGTTGTGTCCTATAGGAAACATTTCTTTGCCGAGTTTCTAATTATTTTTAAAAACATGCAAACTGTTTACATTTCAAAACCAAACAAAGCAGCTGGGATTTAATTTTTTTTTTTAAACTAATGTATTGACATCTGTTTCAGAATATAATAACATTCAAATCAATCACAATGTTATCCTTATGGAAGGAACTTTGAGGGCAGCCCACGCCCTTAAAAATATATATTTCAAAAATCTAAAGCCAGTTTGCACATCTACACACCTAGACGAACATTTTGGTGTATAATATGTGGGGTTAAATCTTAAAATAAAAAAGCCTTATTGTTCACAAAGTTTCATGTCGCGTATTAAATATATATACAGTAGATGATTTTACAGTTGAAAACAGCAGTTTTGTCTATGTGAAAAGCCTTAAATTGATACTGGGAGCTTATTTCCACACTGGTAATAAGTAGCTACATATGCCTACCACCTTCTTCTATTAAATAGCCTACTATTACTAAACTATTACTAAACTAACTTGCTCATGGCTATTGAAGCCTTAAAAAAGAGCCTACATACTAGATCTATATTGTGTTCAATATTTGTATATTTTGTTCAATCTAGGCATATTGTGTTTTGACTATTGATATAATTAGAGACATTCCATCCCCATGTTAAAGTTGTTAGGTACCAGTTTTAGCAAATTTCCTTATAGGGAAGTAGCTATTACCACGGTGGCACGGTAAGACCTAGGCCCGGGACTGATTTACTTTTTTGTTTTGATGTCCCCAGAGGCCAAAAACACCATTTGTGTTATATATATGCATATATATATTCTAATATATATACGTATATATATATATGTTATATATATACGTCCGTGAATGCGGAAACTGAGTAACTTTGATGAAATTTGGTTTAAAGGTATAAGGTGGGATGAACTTTAATGAGGATTTTCCGGAGGGGGGGGGGGGGGGTTATGGGGTAAAAATTTGTTTTTCTCATTTTGACCCTCAAAACTAAAAATTTCCCAATTCATCCCAAATTTATGTGAGTACGGCATTTGTTCGTATTTGAATTTGTGCCTTACTCGCTCCCTTCCAGCCAACATTAATCCAAAATATTTTACTCGACTTACAAATGATTTGACTTGAGCTGGATTGAGTCCATGTTTAACTCGGACTAAAAAATCTATCATTTTCTGAGCCAGGTGATGGCCGAGCTATCCGGACTACCGGGTAATCGAGTGCCGAGTTTGCGTGACTACTGTACCTGTTACCTAATGGTATTGAAATAGATTTAATTGAAAATCAATTAAGACAAATGCTTAGTCAGCAGGTTTGCTGAAGTGGGGGTATTTTAAATCAAAATCATCGTAGTTGATGTGAGCCACCGACAGATTGTGCTAACCTAAATGACTAATATCTGTCGAAGATAAGAACTTTTTTCTAAGTCAAACCAATGGAATGACTCATTGTGAGCATAATTATGATAAATATCATATGTTATTACCAGGAATATTTATAACTAATCAACTCAGTCAGCAACAAAAAAATTTTCTAAAATAGAGTATTTTTCCTGAATGTCAGGGTGTCTACCAACCGGGAAAACTGGGAATTGTACTTAATTTTGGGCTGGCCATGAAAGGTACGGGAATCGTCCTTAAATGCCAGACTACGGCCTAAAATTTTTAATGGGCAATAATTTTATCAATCTGCTATGTACTATGAAAAGAAAGTTGATTTATGTTTTAATACATATTTTTATTCTGTACCAAATTATTGTAAGTTAGCTTTTTCAGTGAAACAAAACAAAACAAAATTAATGTAAACAAAGTCATATGATAAATAAAAGAAACTAGTGTACATGTTGCTCGAAATCGAGCAATTGCAAAGTATTACAGGAGTTATTTCAAAACTAATAACAGTCATATTTACAATAAGTTTAAAAGAGTCAACTCAAAGATTACCGGTGTGTAACTCAGACCATGTTTATCTTCGTTATTGTTAAAGCATTCCGGCCGGTTTTCTCCTTCTCAAAGTGCCTCGCTGTACAGGCAACACAGGTCATTGATAGAGGGCCAATTGAGAACGAAAAGTCGTTTTGGGGTAGTGTTAGGGCGCATTTGTAACCTAATAGTTGAGATTGTCCAGGGTCAGGTGCTGACTGTGATGAGTTAAGACTATTACGCGCCACTGTTCTGTAGCTGCGGTCGTTATCACGATTACGCCTCCTGTCTATGTTTTGTTGTCGTCGCGTCGGAAGCATTTAAAAGAAAAAAAACAAAAAATAAATAAATTATAGCCACACAAAATAACGATAAATGCACAAATTTCAGCTACAATCATGCTAACACGATCCGTCATAGCGACACAAAACAAAGATAAATCACAAATTGAAGATACAACCATACTAACACGATCCGTCGTGGGGGTTATGTTTACACAAACTCAAATAGTAAATAAATGTACTCAATGCGTTTCATTGTACTGAAAAATAAATAACAGCAATTAAATTATACAGCTGATCAAAATGTAAACAATTATGTTCTTCATAAGGATAACATGGGAACTTTCAAAGCCACTGGGGCAGAGCCTAAGCGATTTTTTCAAAAATGTAAGGCCAGTTTGCAAATCTACGCTACACGGTCTTTCCAATGAGACGTCAATGGATAGAATCGGTTAAGAAATGGCGGAGCAGTTCAACCGACAAAGTTTCATGTAGCGTATTAATTATATAGATTAGGAAACAGTTGGTTGAAGTAAAACAGCACCTCTCCCCTAAGTTTTAGAATCACATATTCATTCTTGTAACCGGTTGTTTTTTCCTTGAGCTTCTTCTTAAGACAGGGTTTGAGGCTTCACCGTTTGGTAGAGGAGCTAGAGGTTGGTTAAAGTGACCTTCATCTTCAGTATGGTTGTTGATCACATGATAATTTGCTCCCTGAAGTTCTTCATCTTGAATTGTAGGCCCTAGAGGAAGTTTGATATTAATAAAGTAGTCCCTGTCGTCCTTCTCACCGCTTAAATTTGAACCGACCGATCTTATTTGATCAATGTGTCTCCTGTAGGAATTTCCAGATTCAATATTATAGTGGCACATGCCCAGTTTTTGTAGAATCCTTCCAAAACTCCACTTTTGTGGCGTTCCGTAGATTCTAAAAGAAACAGAGTCTCGTTCTTTAAAGTTCCTCCCATAAGATTGTTGGATAGGCTGGTCATTTGTGCAAGTATTTGAAGAGTTAAGAAGTGTCAAATCAAGCCTTGACCTCAACCGATGAAAAGATGAGCAGGTGTTAACCCTGTAGTTGCATGAGGTGTTCTCCTATATGCCATGAGAAATCTGGCAACCTTTTGGTTCAAGGTACCAGGTTCATCTTTCATAGACCTAAGGGATTGTTTTAAGGTCTGAACATATCTTTCGACCTGCCGGCTGCCCATTGGTAGCCGGATGATATGGAGCAGAATGTTTATGGCATATGCCATTCAGTTCTAAGAAGTTTTTAAATTCTTGAGAAGTATATTGTGGACCGTTGTCTGAAACCAAGATATGTGGAATGCCAAAATTGCTGAAGAAAGTTCGCAGGCAATCTATGGTTTTGTTT